CTGGATCTGCCGGACTTTGTTTTCGTCTTCCTCCTCTCCTGAATCCCATCAGTGAGGGACAAACACATCTTGCAGCAGGACATTCAATTAGAGGGAAAAAGGATTTCGGTTTCAGGCCATCATGGGAGAGGCACTTTACTTTTCAGAGACATAAAAATGGCACTAGAGAGGACTTTAGCCTTTTTGTTTTCGAAAGCAATAGGTACATAAACCTGTTTAAGTGAAAGAAAATGGAAACGAAATAGAGGCAGATTCTCTTTTTGCAACAAATATATTTATTGTTGCATTTTACAATTTTATACAATTCTTAGGAATATTTTTTCTCAATTTACGCTCTCCCGCAAGGGTACATCAATCGTTGAACCACATAGAGACAAAGTTTGAAATTCGAACTCATGGTACTTTCAGTTCGACTAGTTTAATGAGCTCAGTCCTGCCATTAATGAGTTAAATTAATATTTGACTTGCTTACCAAACTTTGAAAAGAACTTCATGAAAACTCCTCAAGTGCCAAACATTAAATTGTTTGTTCAAAAGGAAAAAAGTTACAACTTTACAAACATCGTTATCAAACTTGCAAAGAGGATGTGGTGTGGTGTGATGTGGTGTATTAACATTCTATACGAGGAATACGCGGACACGTCAGATTCCCTCTTTGGGGATGTTCGTTCAATATTGTGGTGACACATCTGCACCAAATCGTTGATATTTGGTAATGATGTGGTGGCATCTCAACTCTACGCTCAATGATGAGGTGTGATGTGTTAATATTTCATATGAAGAAGATGCAGACACTTCAGATTACACCTTTAGAGATGATACAACTACACCCAAATCATTCCCATTTGGAAATGATGGGGTAGCATCTCAGCTCTAGGTACAGTGGTGTGATAATTTTATTCGCGATTTTATAATTTGGATATTAATAAAAACAACTCATCCATATCAGACGGTCATTAAGAATGAGTATGCACTGTGATGAAAAATTGGACATTCCAAACTTTATTATCATTTTTTCTTAGTGACTCTTCAACTCACTTTTTGTTATTCTTTATCCACTCTTCAACTTGTCTTTGTTACTCTTAGCCTACTTTTTGTTACTCTTTGCACACTCTCTTTACTATTTGTTGTCTACACTTTATTATTTTTTGTCCACTCTTAAAACACTTTTAATTATTCTTCAACCATTCTTTGTTACTCTTCAACCGTTATTTGTTACTCTTGAACCACTCTTTCTTACTCCTGGACCAATCGAGGAGACCACAGATAAGATGCACTGTGATATAAAATTAAACCGTCCAACTTCATTATCATGCAGTGACTCTCCGTCTACATTTTCTTACTGTTTGTATACTCTCTTTACTATTTGTTGTCCCCACTTTGTTGTGAACACTTTATTATTATTCGTCCACTCCTTGTTACTCTTCAACCACTCTTTCTTACTCTTCGTTACTCTCGAACCATTCTTTCCTACTCTTGGACCACTCTTCACTACTCTTCGTTACTCTCAAACCCTTCTTTCCTACTCTTGGACCACTCTTTATTATTCTTGAACAACTCTTTGTTCTCTTGGGCCACTCTTAGTTACTCCTCAACCACTCTGCACTTCATTCACTTTTTGCTATTTTTTGTCACTATTTGGTGTCAACTTTTCTGTGCATACTTCATTGCTATTTATCTTTTTTTATATTAGTTCACTCGTCATTATCTGCAAGTACTCACCAAAGTCTGGTGAAGTCTTTTGATTCATGAATGTTGCGATTGGAAATTTCACATTCTTGATAAATAAAAGGTACTTCTTACTTATTGAAAAAAGAACATTTTTTACTCATAGTTTCTTAATTTAAATAATTGGCATACTGTTTAAATATTTATACTTAATATTTGTTTACATACTTGTCGGTGTATTCAATTCCTTTCTCTTTATTGGAAGCAGGAAGATATTCATCTTAAGCCCATTTCCAAATAAATCCTGGGAGATGGCATAAGATCTTTTGGATTGCTTTGTTCTTTTTTTTCCTCCTAATCCCATCACGAGGGAGTAAGACGCTTTTTGCTGCTCATTCAATTAGAATTAGGGAGAACATAGTTCGGTTTTATGTCTCAGGGAGAGATGCACTTTCTGGTTTCGTGCATGGGATGTAGAAGAAAGGGAGTATTTTAATTTTTTAAAGAAACACTCTATTTGTGCATTATATTTGTCTTTGGTTCTAACAGATATGCTCTATATATTTCAGTGTAATGTTCTTATTCTTATGCGTTGATAATCTTTTTGCAAATACGCTTCATAACATCGACCTCTGAATTCTCTAAGACTGTTTTTTATTTCTAATGCAGCTTGGCAAATACTTAAACCGTGATATTTTATGCATAAGCAAGGGCTGCACCAACGTACTCACTTAGCACTACTCAGGAGACGCGTGTAGCTTGAAGATAAGCTACGAACGCGGAGTAACGCTACCCCGCAACGCACTACGATTTAAAATGGATTCCGAACCACTATAAACATCCATGGCATCGCCTGGACCTGTGGTACCGAGCGCCAGAGCTCTAGCCGCTCGGTCATCAGGCCCCTTGATCTAATAAGACTAGAGCTTTGGGCGTAGGGCTGACAACCCTAACCCATAAAAAAAAATCTTATTTTTCGGAATCTGCCAGTGGGCAGATGGCCTTGGCCTGCCATGGGGCTGTTACGCCAATGAAGAATAATAATAAGAAAAAGGTTTTATGAAAAGTACACCGTGTTGGATATTTGGAAAGCTCTTATAAAATCAAAAGTAAAATCTTAAAAACATGTGTGGTTTTATAATTAAAACGACGCCAGAACAACGTTTTTTCCCGAACAGACTTTTGAATTCTATCGAAAATCTATTTTCGAATTTGTGTAGAAAGTTTGAATACGTCCTCTCAAGTTCGTTTTTCTCTTCTTTCTATTTCTTTATTTCTTTTTCTTCCTAATTCTTGAGGGATCCGATTTCAAAAAATTACTAAATAAAAAGACGTCTCGAATGCCGTTCAATTAGCGTGAGAGACATGGCTTCGGTTCCAGGACTGAAGTGAGAGAGGCACTTTTGGGGATTATGAAGACGACACTGGAGAGGACTTTGGGTTCGTTTGTTTGCTTAACTGGGGAAAAAAGAAGAAAATGTAATGGCTTGTTATTTTCTTTTTTACGAAGCAACCGTTATTTATTTGCGTGTTTTTCCTATTCTTGTTAAGTACAATATTTTGTCAAATTTAAATCATTTTCCTTGATGGCCATTCCTAATTAAAGTCTTTCCTATGTTAATAAGTTTAATAGCAGCTTAACTTCTAAGATATGGCTATATTCACTTTGGAAAGTTAACAGCAATTAATAGAAAAGCTGATTTAACTTTGTAAATCTTTAAAAAAATTTCAAACAAACTTTTTATGGTGGGCCTGTATGGCCGACACACAGGTATCGGTATCGATAAACACACAGGCTCTGTACCACAGGTTTCGGGTTCGAGTAACGGCGTTGCCATGGATGCTTGTAGTGGTTCGGAATCCACTTTAAACCGTGGGTCTCGGTCTAACAGGATCGTAGAACGTTGCGGAGGTAGTGTTACTCGACGTCCGTAGCTTATCTTCAAGCCACAAGCACCTCCTGAGTAGTGCTAAGTGAGTAACGTCTGTGCAGCTCTTGCCTTAAGGCATCCAAGACAACTGTCTAAGTTTTTGCCAGGTGCATTAGAACAAAAAATATCTTATTCTATAAGTGTAATATTTTATCAAACTTAAATCAATTTGCTGCTTGTATTTTTTTCTTTGATGAGTATTAAATTAAAGTCATTAATATAAGAAAGACTTTAATTTAATACTCATCAAAGAGTTATAAGTTATAAGTTAAACTGCTATTAAACTTATATTAATAAGTATAATAGCAGTTTAACTTTTCACAAATTCATGCATAATGTTAACAACAATTAGTTGAAAAGTAGATTTAATTTGTAAATCTATAAAAACATTTTTTCAAAATAACTTTTCAAGGTAATTCTGTTTTTCATAAAAAAAAGTATATAAAAACAAAAAGAAGTAAAAAGGAATATATAAATAAAACTGCAAAATTCTTTCTGTTTTAAGTGATAACAAAGGCAAACCGATAAAAAAAGGCAAATGAGACACAATAAATTATCATTTTGAATTTAATTATGTTTCACAATATAATATGAAGTTTATATAACTTTCCAGCAAAGAAGCTATTCTTAGCATAACTAGAAAAATATATTTGTTTTCCAATTACATTTCAGTGGATTAGCTAAAGAGGGCTAGTAGATTGCACACTTGAATATGAAATCAATAAACGATTCTACAGTTTCTACGGTGGGGAAGGACACGAAAACATGTGGGTGAAGTATAAAGGCCATGGGATACACTGGATGACGCTGAATCTGCTATATGTTGCTAAAAGACACCAGGTCTGATTGCACAGCTTTTTAAAACTATAATATTTATTATTTTAAGTAATAATTAACTACTAATTCCCCGGCACTATAGCCCATGGTGAACCAAAGCCCTCTACCTACTGGCAGATTCCGAGACAAGAGATGTTTTTTCAATTCCTTCTATTAGCTCCCACTCTCCCTATATAAATCTTGTTCAAATTTTCAATCGTTCATAAAACACTTTTTATTCATCCACTCAACTTCAAATACATTTTTTTTAACTTGCAGTGGATGACACATGATGTCGATACAGTTTTTTTCAAATATTAATTCAGTAATTAAATTTCATTAATTAATTTCAGTTTTTTTTAGATTTAAGTTGTATGTATCTACCAATAGATGGCGCCAGATGTAAGAGGAGAATTTCAACTTTATTTGTAAAGGCCTTTCTGCAATAGAGTGAAAAAATAGGAATCGACTTAAATTTTTTTTTATATTACTTGTTTACTGGTAGGGGGCCAGCGCTCTACAGTCATATTACACCTCGACCTACAGTTTAAAGTGAATTCCAAATCAAAATTTTGAATGCTAAGGGCACGAGATGTTCCCAGGTGGTCACCCTCCCTAGTACTGACCGAGTCCGATGGTGCTTGACTTCGGTGATTGAATGAGAATCGATATATTCAGCATTCAGTATGTCATAACTTTTATAAACAAAATTTCTTTAAATGTGGTAAAATACTAAATATGATAACATCGCTATTATTAAATTTATTTCTTATGTTTTTACATTTACTCTTTAGTTGATCTTACTGTATGACAATTTGGCGTTACTGATATACCAGTATTAATATATTAATAATATTAACAACATAGATTAATAAAATTTACACTAGAAGTTTTAATCAATTAGTTACACAAGTTAGGACTCAGTTTTCTTTTTTTCATTGAGAATTTCTTTTTTTAAGGGATAGCTTTTACTAAAAAATTAATTTGATATTTTATCAATAATAGTTAGTAGTAAAATCATATTCAGCTTTTTCCTAATTCAGAATTACTGGTAACGAATAGGATAACTCACAAAGTATGAGTTAACTATATCACCCTTAACTAAATCTAAGGAACAAATAAAAAAACAAGCAATATAAAAAAAAAATGTAAAGTCAATTCCTACTTTTTTTTTCACTCTATTGCAGTAAGTCTTTTATAAATAATTTTCATTCACTTTTTTAAGTTTATCTGGCGCCATCTATTGACAGATATATGCAACTTAAATTTAAAAAAAACTAAAATTAATGAACTAAATTTAATGAATGAATTAACATTTGAAAAAAACTGCATAAACATCCAGTGTCATCCATTACAAGTTCAAACAAAAATGTATTTAAACTTGAGTGGATGAATAAAAAGTATTTTATGAACGATTGAAAATTTGAACAAGATATATATAGGGAGAATGTGAGCTAATAGAAGGAATTGAAAAATAAGATAAAATATTTTTGAATAAACGGCGACAAAAACACTTTACTGTCTATAATTTGCATACTTTTCTTATTCAGGAAGAGTGGAATTGAATTTTTATGTATGCTTACAACAGGAATTAGAAATGAGAAAAATATTAAATTTCAAACTATTTATTAATTAAAAATATTATATCATTATAAGAGAAATATCACGTGATTGACCATTTGTATCACGTTATTGACCAACATCATAAGCCATCATTTTTTATATACAAAGAAATTTCAAATAAGTAGTTATATAACGGAGGCCTGATGGCCGAGTAACTAGCCCTCTTGCTCTCGGTGCCACAGTTTTCGGGTTAGAGTCCCGGCGGTGCCATGAATGCTTGAAGTGATTCGGAATCCACCTTAAACCGTAGTTTCCGGTTTAATACGACTGTGGGCAAAGGGATGACAGCTCTACCCCATAAAAAGGAAACATCTCATCTCTCGAAATCTGCTTGTTGACAGACGGCCTTGGGCCACCGTGGGGCTGCTGCGTCAATGAAGAAGAAGAAGAATATGTGTTAATGAATCATGTGGTGATGAGACCGTAGAGTAGTAATAAAATATTCTTTACTATTCCGCAAATGAGACTAATTAAATAATATGTGATATTTGTAATGTACTAGATGAAACAGGAAACAATTAATAAGAAAAAAGCTCTAGAATAGTTATTTACTTAGCTCTGAAGAGAAATTTTTGGCTTTGATAAAGGCTTTTAGGCTTTGAACCGCTGATGAACAAGTTATAAAGCGTTCTATGTTTCTTTTAGTAAAATTATATTGCATTATTTTATAACAACAAAAAGGAGTCCTGAATGGCCGAGTGTCTAGTACTCTGGTGCTTGGGTTAACACAGGTTTTGGGTTCGAGTTCCGGCCGTGCCGTAGATGTTTGCATTGGTTCGGTATCCAATTTAAACTATAGGTACCGGTCTCATATGACTGTAAGTGCGCCACAGCGCCCAATCATACTCCTTCTCACTCATATCCTTCCCAAACTGTAAAGGGGCAACTCAGCTCTAGGCACAGTGATGTGGTGTGGTATAATAGTAGAGGCCAATAAAGAAGGTTTAGATAAATAAAAACACAGTGGCTTTTTTATAGGATTCTCTTAGTTCCAAAAAGGTGTTAGATATACCATCTAACTAGTATATATATCCCTATACATATGTAACTTTCCCTGACACTACAGGGCATGTTGGACCATGGCCTAATGGCAGATTCCGAAATAGGAGATATTTTCTTTTTTGCGGAGTAGGATTGCCAGCTCAACTAAAGGTTTAAAGTGAATTCCGAACTACTAAAAACCTCCATGGCACCGCCAGGACTCGAACCCCAGACAAAATTAATAAAATAAGAACCATAAAAGTATACAATTACTGTATATGAAATCAGAATCTATCATTAAATGTAAAGGTTTCTTCCCAAATATTACAGCAAAAATAGATTTAAAAATCGTAGAGAAATTGTTATTTGAGAATATTTCTGCTTATCACCAGACAAAAAAAAACTAGACTAGACTTAATGTAAATATTATTGATGTACTTAAAAGAAATATTTTATTCCTATTTTCTTAGAATTTTTAACATTTAAATTAGCGGTGTTCAATATAAATGTCACAACTTTTCTGAATTATGCCAATTCAGAAAAGTTGTGACATTTATATTGAACTGAAACGTTTGAAAAATACTCTAAAATAGCTTTAAAATGGGTAGACGCTTTCAAAAGTAGCTTGAAAGAGTATAAGAAAGCATAGAATTTAAATCTTGATTTATTTTCCTCGAAATAAAGGGAATTTGCTTTTTCTCTCAGAACATGGGGGAAAAAATGGTTTCTACGAGAAGAATTCCATGAAAATCCATTTTTCTTCTCAAAGATAAAAGCTTTGTCGTACCTTCGCATTTTATTAGTTTCTCATGGAATTTCCAAGATAGTGTTTGATCCCCTTTTAACAAACAGAAGAATTTCAAAGCTGTCGTGCTTTGTTGTTTTATGTCTCACGAACGTCTGCTCTGATGTCTCCAGTTTAGAACTGAAAGTCGTTTTTCAACAATAAAACCTTTTGTCTCGTGGACGTATTATTAGATGAGGAGTTTCGCTTTTATAGCAAAATAAACTTCTTTCTATTGGAATAGTTTAAAAAAAATTATTATGATATATTAAATTAATCGAAGAATCATTGTTTCTATAACTAAATGGGATTTATTACTTTATGGGGCTTGATGGACGAGTGACTAGCGCTCTGTGCGACAGGTTACGTGTTCGAGTCCCTGCAGTGCCATGGATGTTGGTAGTAGTTTGGAATTCCTTTTAAACCGTTGTTTCCGGCCTAATTTAACTGTAGAGGGTTGGGTGTAGGTTTGACAACCCTACCCCATAAAAAGGAAACATCTCCTGTCTCGAAATCTGCCAGTAGGCAGACAGGCTCCGCCCACCATGGAGCTATTGCTCCAGTGAAGAAGAAATTATACAATGTTCTGTATTTCTTTTAGTAAAACCATATTGCATTCCTTGACACCAATAAAGAAGGCTTAGATAAATAAAAACACTGTGCCTTTTTTATAGGTCTCTCTAAGTTCCAAAGATTACTAGATATACCATCTAATTTCCAGGCACTTCAGTCCATGCTGATGTTGAACTACGGCTGTTCGCCTACTGGCAGTTACTTAAACAGGAGATGTTTTCTTTTAAAGGGGTATAATTGTCAGCCCTACAACCTACAGTTATATTAGACTGGGATCTACGATTTAAAGTGGATTCCGAATCACTACAAACATCTATGGCACCTAGATTTACCATCACACAGTAAATAATTATATTTTCTTCTCTATGATTTTTAATTATATAAATAAAAATAATACTCATGAAAATATACAATTACTTTATATGAAATCAGAATCTATAATTAAATAAAAAGTTTCTACGTTTCTTCCCAAATATGACAACAGAATATATTTAAAGATGTGTAGAAATCTATTTGATAATTTACTGTATTTCTGCTTATGATAAGACATTTTAAGCTAGTCCAGACTAGACGCATGTAAATATTATTGAAAAACTAAAATGAAATATTTTATTCTCATTTTCTTACAACTTTTAACATTTAATTTACTCAATATGCTAATTCAGAATTTAAAATTGGGACATTTATATTAAACTGAAACGTTTGGAAAATGCTCTAAAATAGCTTTAAAATTGGTAGACGGTTTCAAAAGCAGCGAGAAAGAGAATAAGAAAGCATAAAATTTAAATCTTGATTTATTTTCCTCGAAATAAATGGAATTTGATTCTACTTTCAGAACAGGAAAAAAAAAGTTTCATAAGAGAAGAATTCTGTGAAAATCCATTTTTCTTCTTTTCAAAGATAAAAGCTTTGTTGTACCTTCGCATTTTATTAGTTTCTCATGGAATTTCCAACATAATGTTTGATCCCGTTTTAACAAACAGAAGAATTTCAAAGCTGTCATGCTTGCTATTTTATTTTGTTGTTTTATGTTTCACGACCGTCTGCTCTGATGTCTCCACTTTGGTACTGAAAGTCGTTTTTCAACAATAAAACTTTCTGTCTCGTGGAAGTATTATTAGATGAGGAATTTCGCTTATATTGCAAAATAAACTATTTCTATTGGAAGAGTTTAAAAAAAAATCAATAGTATGATGGAAACGATGATTTTTATGGGTCTTGATGGCCGAGTGACTAGCGCTCTGGAGCTCGGTGCCACAGGATTCGGGTTCGAGTCCCGACGGTGCCATGTTTGTAGTGGTTCGGATTCCACTTTAAAACGGAGGTCCAGGCCTAATATGACTACTACTACCACTACACCACACCACATCTCTGTGCCTAGAGCTGAGTTGCCCCTTTACAGCTTATGAATGATATGGGTGATAGATGTCTGTGTGGGCTCTGTGACGCTCTACGGTCATATGAGACCGGAACCTACGGCTTAAATTGGATTCCGAACCACTACAACATGCATGGCACCGCCGGGATTCGAATCCGAAACATGTGGTACCGAGCGCCACAGCGCTAGCCACTCGGCCATTAGGCTCCTGGTCTAATATGACTGTAGAGCGTTGGTCGTAGGTGTGACAACCCTACCCTTTAAAAAGAAATCATGTGTCTCAAAATTTGCCAGCAGACAGACGGCCTTGGCTCACCATGGGGCTGTTATGCCGATGAT